TAACATTAAATATAAAATTAAATAAAAACTTAAATACATATAAATTGAAATATATATTACTCAGCCATAAAAAAAGAATGAAGTACTGATACATGCTACAATATGGATGAATCTCAAAACATTATGCTAAGTGAAAGAAGCCAGATACAAAAAATCATATCATATGCTTCGATTTATATGAAAAGTCCAGAACAGGTAAATCTATAGAGACAGAAAGCAGATTAGTAGCTTTAAGGAGCTAGAATGCGGTGGGGCATAGAGATAGGAAGTAATCACTTAATGGTACAGAGTTTTCTTTTGGGGTAATGAAGATGTTCGGAATTAGATAGAAGGGGTGTTCGCACAACACTGTGAATGCCACCAGATTACACACTTTAAAATGGTTCATGTATGAATTTTATTTTTAAAAACTACTAAGCAAACATTAATGAACAAGACAATTATTACTTTCTACAAAAATTGAAACTTGTATAGGGAGGGGAAAATATTAATTTACCACAGATTCAGCTTTGCATAGCATTTATGGAGTCATAAGTAAACATATAACAATATTGTTCTAATCAAAACTATGCTATAACTATAATGAGAGGAAGGCCAAATGGCAAGTGTGTCATGAGAGTACAGAGAAAAAAGAGATAAAGGCTCTGGTATGAATCAGAGGGGTGGGCAAAGATTTAACCAGAAAATAAAATGAGGAAGAAAATGAGAAAACGAGGAACAAATTGTTAAAGTACATCCAAATTCACAGACACTAAACATTCATTCTACTACTCACTTAGGAAAATATTTGGTGTGATCTTCTAATGGGTCACCACCTTCCTCACACTTTTCCAAACATTCTCCACAGGAAAAACGCTGGACGATGTCCTTTATACCTAGAAGGAAATTCGATCAGGACCACTGGCATGTATTCATCAAGTGACACAGTTAACCACTAGGTCTTTGGCAAAACCCTACTTGCATTTCCAATCAGATTTTGTGAAAAAGTCACAATTTGGGTCACCAGTGAGGCAGTATTCCATACAAAACCAATGCTATGAATCATATACATATGAGTGCTCCTATGTATCATGCACTTTGATGAACACTTCCCTGACCCATCCTTCTACGGAGCAAGAGATTTGCAAATCAGAGTGTAGAATTAAAGCTCGATGAAGGAAGAGATTTTTGTCTGTTTTGCTCACTGGTGAATCTCATGGACCTAGAAGAACAACTAGCACTTATTAAGCACTCAATAAGTATTTGAGGAATAAATCAGAAAGAATATATTTGGAGCTCAGGAAAAAAATATGAACAGCAGCCCTTAGGTAAGTTCATGAAGAATCAAATGTCTCTACTACATTAGCACCAGGTTTATTCCACCAGAAGTAGGATCAAGTCTCCTTATGAGACTATTTCTGTGGAAGGAAATTAGCATTTGGATCTACCAAAGGATTAAACTAGAAATGGAGCGTCCCTCATCTTCTTTCCACTCTTGGAGCCCTGTAGGCATGGCAAAGCGAGGGCATCCCCTTTGTGTCTGGACAAAAATGCGGTCCTAGAGCTTGCAAGACGGTAAAAGGGTCAGATGACTAGGACTTGTGGGGAAAAGTGGAGGTTCAAAAAGGAATAGTGTGAGGACACTGGACAGCGGGTCTTTGAGGGAGGATGGCAAGAGGAAGACAGAACAGAGAGTGGGGAGAAAGAGTGGGACACTGCCTTTCCACATGCTTAAGATTGTGAGGCACAAAGATTTTTTTGTACCATTAGTATGTTTCTGTTAAAGTGACCCCTACATTCCCCTACATTGTACTGCTCTGTGATATCTACTTGACTTTTAGTAAAGGATCTGCATGGGCCCTCACTGTGTGTTTGGTCTGAAGGTCAATAAAGGTACCAAGGAAGGGCACAATATCCTTTCTGATCACCTTACTGTACCTCAGGCAGAGACCTGAGGGGAACCAGCCTATTCTTTGTGGGTTTAAGAGTAGAATTTCCTGATGACCAGCAGCTAAAGAGAATACTATGAACTGATGGAAGATTCTACATGCTTAGAAATCATTTTAAAAAGTATTTCCTGATTTTCTCTTCTTAATAGTGTATGTCAAAGACTGCTTATCCATATTCCCAGTATCTTTCATTCTTCTATAATATCAAACCCCAATTTTTAGCTGGGTATACTGCAGCCAGGAAAAAAATTAAATGTCCTAGCTTCTCTTATAACTAGGTATGGCCATCTGACTACTAAGTTTTGGTTAAAGAGATATAAGCAAAAGGGTCATGTGACAGTTTTCAGGGGCAGGGATGGGATTGGGTGGTGGTGGGGAAGAGAGTAATGTATAGAAAGTAAGACATTACAATTATCCCAAACGGAATACAGTTTCCCGCGCCCCCATCCAAAAGTAGAGCATTCCTATGAAACCTTTCGTAAGCTGAAATGGCAGAAAGTGAAGAAGCAATTACCTTAGGACAGGGGTCCCCAATCCCTGGGCTATGGACCAGTACTGCCAGTTAGGAACTGGACTGCACAGCAGGAGGTGAGCAGTGAGTGAGCTAGTGAAGCTTCATCTGTATTTGCAGCCACTCCCTAGCGCTAGCATCACCACTTCAGCTCCACCTCAGATCATCAGGCATCAGATTCTCATAGGAGCATGGGTTCCTGGTGCCGAAAAGGTTGGGGACCACTGCCTCAGGACACATCTTGCTAACAAATACACAAACTGAGCTAAAGCACAGATGCTCACAGACAGTTCAAAGCTATGGTGGCTTGATGCTGAGATGCGGAGTGTAGTTCCCAGGGAAGGGGCTTGGTGGCGCCACTCTCACTGCTCCGGTGCGTGCTGCCTCTGTAATGGTTCACCTCAAAACAAATGCTGTACACTATTTTTGCTTTTCGTCTTTTTTGGCAAAAGCGAAAATACTCTTCAGATTTGGTTAGCAAAAACAGAGGCATACCTTGTGTTATTGAGCTTTACTTTAACGAGTTTCACACATGTTGCATTTTTAAATTTTTTTTTTATGTATTGAAGGCAAGACCCTCCCCATCTGCAAAAGGATTATAGCTCACTTATTGTGGTAATCACTTTATTGTGGTGGTCTGGAACCGAACCCGCAATATCTCCGAAGTATGCTTGTATTAATGTATGTCTCTCATAAAAACAAAGTGGCGAAAAGCGACTTTGGAAAGCGGAGGATACCTGTACCTATTAGGAGCTTTTCTACCTAAGGAGATTTGGAAAATTGGGAGAGAGTTTCTGATACAGCAAGGGAAAGGGATACTTTAGGAAAGATTAAAAGAGTGGATATTGTTGAGACTAGATAAACCCAAGCCCAGGATCATAAAGGATATGGGGTTTAAATGAGCAGCAAGGCAAGAGCTTGCACAAACTACTGGCTCACCTATATAAGAAGGCCTCCTTTGGCCAGAACTACAACTCCCACAGGGGATGCCTGGGGCCAGTTCTTAAAAGCCCAGTGCCAGTTCTTCATTAGCAAAGATGCTCTCATTGCAATAAACTTGAATAAAAGACGGTAAGACCAGCAAGTTCTGATATTACAAATATCAGTGTTCAGGTTATCTCTTCACATTTATAGATAGAATGTGATGTTTGGAGTTTGCTTCAGTATAATTGGAGGAGGGGTTAAAAGGAAAAAAGAGGTTTAGATGAGGCAAGATTGACCTTGTGTTAAATTATTGAAGCAGAATGGGAGATATATGGTGGTTATATACTATTGTCTTATTTATGTGTTCAAAATTTTTCTATAATAAAACCTTTAAAAATTACCTCTTCACCATCAGAATAAAACCAAAAAAAAAAGCTAGAAGAGACTCCATTTCTCCCTAAGTTGGTGTCAAGATTCGAAAGAGCCAAATTTTCCTTGCAGCTTCCTTAAGAGCAGATTTATTTCTTGCCCTTTGAGGTGTCCACTCAAGCAGTAGTCCCCATTAGACCTCCCACCTTGGATGGGCCCTGGGATTTGATTCCTGTCATCTGTACCCTATAAGGACTTGAAAATTAAACTTATGTTAACTTGGCTGTGTAAATTTTCTAAAGCCGAAAGCTTTCTTCAGTGTTCCACTTAACATCAGGATTCTTGCCATCACTTCATTTTTAATTTACATATATTTAATGTATTAGACAAACCTCGGTCTTTTCCTCCTGTGTATCTCCTTTACTCACACTACTACGACCCTCACACACTTCTGACAGCAGATGTGTGGGGCTTTCCCCCCACCAAGCAATTCTGACATCAGCTAGGTGTTCTACAATTTAACTCATCCTGACACTCTCTACCTGGAGATGGCCTCAGATCCTACAGGTTAAGGGCTCAGTCCTGCAAGAGTGTACCCAGCCCATTCACTGGAGTAGCTCACAGGACTCAGAGAAATACTTGTATTCGCTAGTTTTTTAAAGGATACAGATGAATGGCGAAATGAAGAGACACATAGGGTGAGACCTGGGAGGGTCCAAAGAGCAGGAGTTTCCGTCCCCATGGAATCGGGGTATGTCATCCTCCCAATGTGGATGTTTTCATTTACCTAGAAGCTCCCTGAACCTTGTACTACTGGGATTTTTATGGAGGCTTCATCATGTAGGTATAATTGATCATTAACTCCATTTCCAGTCCGTCTCTCCTCTCTGGAGTTTGGGGGCCATGACTGAAAATTCCAAGCTTCTAATCATGGCTTCGTCTTTCTAGTGACCAGCCCCAATCCAGGAGCCCACCCAGAGTTTCTTCCTTAGAACAAAAGATGCTCTTATCACTTAGGAATTTACAAAGGTTTTAAGGGCCCTGCATTAGGGATGGGGTCAAAAACTAAATATTAGAATAAAAGATGCTCCTACTGCTCTTATCACTTTAAAAACTACAAAGATTTTAGGAGCTCTGTGCCAGGAACTAGGGGCAGAGATCATATGTTTTTTTTTCTATTACCTCACACTTAATTTCTTAACAGATACTGATCTATTTAAGAATGTTTTCAAAACTATTTTATCCAGAAATTTTAATTGCTTTAGGGGAAATGTCAGTCAAGGACCCAACCCTGCTATATTTCCCTATGCTCGTTTATGCTAAAAAACTAAGTCACTCTAGAAGACCAGAAATCTTACGAAGATGATTTAAAAAATAAACGAACAAACAGAACTATGGCACCATGAAAATGAGGAAAAAAATGGAAGAGATTTTTAAAAATGGGTGAAGACCAAAGAAAAGCAAAAGAAATAAACCAGCAAAGCCTTTGGAATATGTCTGAGTCTTTACCTGATACCATAGGTAAATCTGTCTTTATCCAGGAATTCACAAAATGTTCTCCCTGAAGAAAATTAAAATTCAAGTTATCAACTTTGTTTGACTTAGAGTATATACCTATCTATGAATAAAAATTGAAAGCCCCAGACATTGAAGAGTTTCATTGGATTGAGTGGCAGAACTGTTGGAGATTATTCCTTTAATTTTTATTTCTATTAATGTTGGAATTTTTTATGCAGTGCAAAACAAAAACAAAAACAAAAACAAAAAAACAAAAACCTGTTTCTTTGTACCTAACAGGAAGCTTTCTGGGGTCACTGTTTCCAGAACTCCAGCTCCAAATTAGATTTACATGTAGCTATCACAGATGTACTTTGACTAATGAGAAGGTATGAGATTCAGGAAGGACTCAGAAGGATGTTAGGCATTGAGCAACCGATCCTTCTCTGATAATTGCATCTGGGTTTCTTTCTGAGGAAACACTTCTCCCCTACTTTGAGACCATGTTCTCTCTTTAAGGTTTTTATCTTCTGAATGTTAGCCAATAAATTCTCTTCTTTGCTTAAGCAGTTTGAGTTTTCCATTACGGGCCACTAGGGAATCATTACTAATAGGGGATAAAGTAACCAGCTAGGAGGCAGCAACTCTGAGGCCCACTGTGAATGATGGTGCTGTGGTCCCAATATCTTACACAGCATTCAGATGGGGGCAGCCAAGGGAAGCTAGGGAAGATGGCCTCAGTCAAAGAGGTGAAGACTTTCAGGAAGGCAAACAGACCAATTGAAAGCCAGCCCTGGAAAAAGGAATTTTAAGGGCTCCAGTTTAGCAAGAGAACATTATTTTCTCCATTCTGTCAGATGTGAGGTAAGGGAAGGAAAGAAGGGAATAAGAGTAGAGACCATGAAAAAAAAAAAAGATTGCCTATCCTTTTTCTGATTCAGATATTATTAGGTAATCAAAAGATAACGAGGAAAAAAATGCTGTCGTAACTTACCGTCACACCAACAAATCCCTTGTAGCTCTGAATATACTGGGCAATTTCCTCTGATGATTTCTTGCTTTGAAGAAATTCACATCTATAATTAATAAACATAATTAAAATTAACCTCGATACTGTGATAGAGATGTCTTACATCTCTATTATTGTTTACACAATGAACATTTGCTAAAACTTACTGAATTGTACACTTAAAATTGGTGAATTTTATTAAACTTCAAATAAAACTGTTAAAAGATTTATCCCAAAACTCATTTATGAGGATCATCATTATTCTTATATAATTATTTACTTCTATTAGTGACAACATAAATAATTTAAAATTAAATCTTCAGATTATTCCTTTCTCTTGAAACAATAATACAATCAAAGAGACTGATTTATAGTATTATATAGGCTGGAGTTTTTGTTTGTTAAATTAAACTATGGTGACTGAATCTAGTTCCTGTTCTCATATGAAAGTTACTGGCACTAAGGGTAATTATATAAATAACATATTTCATCTACTAAACAAAGTATGTCACCACTCCTTAAACAATAGAAGTTAACAAATTTTGAATTCTTAAAAAAGAACTTATTGAATACCGTTTAAAAAACTCATTCCTTTCCACAAAAGAGAAGCAATTTTTAAATTAATTTGAAAAAGTTCTTCTAATTCAAATTTATCTTTCTAGTAGTATTGTAGTAACAAGTGGGCTGGGAATCAAGAGGCCAGAATGTTAGGCCTAGTTCTGCCACTACCAGGGATGTGACCAATCTTGTCATTGTTCTCTTGTAATCACATGAGAAAATGAACTCCATTAGATGGTTCATATATTTCTCCAGAATTACCATTCTATAAGCAGCCAGGATGTGGAGGAGACATTGTTTTATGATATGACCACTGTCTGTCCTGCAAGCTGGACCCGGGTCAGAATGGAAGTTGCTTTCCACAGACCCCCTCCCCTCAGAGGCTCCCTGATAATTGATGTTCATTCTGACATAAATCAGTACCCCTCTCTTGCCTCCTGCAATGTGCTGATTCCTGAAACAGGCTTGTTGTCCTGGCCTGGTCAAACATGTAATTTCTGTACCTGGTAGCATTCACATACTAGTATCTGTGACTAGCCCCCAACCCCTTCACCCTATTCTCTGGCACCTGCCAAAATGTAAGGGGATCCATTTCATCTTGCGTCTGCCTCTGACATGCCTCATATGTAAGTTTCCCTTAATAAACACTATTAGTTACCTGATGGAGTGGCCAACCTCTTTCTTGGTGGTCCCAAATCTCTCTCCATTTATGAAGGCAGAATTTCAGTCTCTAGGCTTTTCTCTGGGCCTGTGTATACTAACACAGGGTCCCCATTTAGCACGTGCCCACGTTATCCCTGAGATTGCCTTAAATCGGCACATAACCCACCTAGAACACAATGGATAGGGTGGGGTACCCTGCCCACATGCTTAATGTGAATTGAGGAGGCACTCAATACATGGTACTTAATTTTATTTAAAAATTATAATAAAATCAGCTTAAAAAGTATGAGAATACTCATTTTGTCCATATTTTATAAAAGATGCAACAAAGCCACTCCATAAAATTGAAGTCCAAGCAGCTAGAGTTGGAGCAACCAGCAAGAAATTTGGGGATTCTTAGTTCTAATTCCAGCTCTGAAATTTATGGGCTGAGCATGTGCTCAAAATGACAGAGGAAAGGCAAAACAGTCAGTCATCTTCACATAATACGTGGTAGTTTTTAGTAGGCATTTGCTCCATATAACTTTATAATTTTTACAACAACCCTACAAGCTATATATCATAATCTGCATTTTTACACATGAGACTCAGAGTAACTTGTCTAAGGGCTGGAAGTAAGGAAGCGGCTCTGTATCTCCTGAGCTTCTGCACTCTGCCCTGCCCTTTGTATCAGCAGGCCTTAGCTCCTTCACTCTCTATGGCTGATGACTGGACTGGTATCTTCTCTCCTATGCTTCTTACCTTTCCCTCCGCCCTATGTCAAAGAAGGTATACCAGGGCCACTCCAGACAGGACGTGCCACTTAGTTGGTACTAGTCATATGATGGTCTATGTGAATGGTGTCACTGGAAGTTGTCCAATGTATAATCCAATGACACTATACACATAGTGACCCTGAGTATAAGTGAAGATTGAACTGAGGCCATAGCTGAGACAGGTACCCAAGAGCAATAAATATTGACCAGAGATGACACTCATCTGATACATACCCAGAAGGTACATGTCAACACTAAGAATGATTGGTTGGTCTGTTCTGATTGGTCAAGGAGCCAGAGAGACATTCAAAATATTTAACAATCTGGCTTCATGCATCCCTATAACTATCTCATCTGCTTGTCAGGAAGAGCTTTCTCTCTCTCCCTCCCTCCCCATCTCTATCTCTCTACCTCTTTCTCCTCTCCTTCTTTGTTCCCTTCCTCCCTCCCACCACCCTCACTTTTTCTTTTCTACTACAAAATACATGTTTGTTCCCAAAAATTTAAACAAAATAGAAGTGAACAAAATAAAATATGAAAATCCCTTTCCACCTTATCTCCTGACAAATCCAAATCCAAATGTATCTATTGTTGAGTTTATATCTTTTCATAACTTTTTCTATATATTTTCAAACAAGTCCATATGTGAGTTGAGTGGTTTTACACATTTTTTAAGGGCTTACAGTAGCATATTATTTTGCATATTTCTTTTTTCACTTAACATATCATAGACATCTTTCCATTTCCATTGTGAGCATGGCTGTCTCTGTGCAAGATAACTTATAAATAACTGCCCAATTGCTTTGTGGTTGACCTATGATTCAACCAACAGCTTCTTTGCATGTAGTAAGTGTAGTAAGTGTATGACAAATATTTGTTAAGAGTATGAACCTGATCACACTACTAGATCTAAGTATTAGGTTAGAGGAAATAAAGTAAGTAGAGAAACATGTTATCACAATAGAAACACATTCAGCCAAAGCTAGAGTATAGGGAATTATACAGATTACAGGGCTTCTTTAATGAATAAATGACGAGAAAAAGATGGGAAAGGAGGAAAGCTATAAATTAAAAATCTTGAGACATATCAGCTAAATGTAATATACGGATTTTGGATACTGATTCAAATTAACCATTTGAAAGGGAGGTGGGAGGATGTGGACATTTGAACATTGACTCAGATATTTGATAATATGCGTTGAGGAATTACTGTTAATCCTTTTCAGGAGAGAGAATGATATCGTGGTTATGTTTCTTAAAGATATTCTTACATTTTAGAGTTATATACTAAAATATCACCAAATGACATTATATGATGTCTGGAATTGACTTTAATATAATCTGGTTATTATTATTATTTCCTGGGAAAAGGTGGGTGAGAGATGGATATGATTTGGCCATGTGTTGATAAGTGTTTATTATACTATTCTATCTTTGTATGAAATTCTCCATAATGGATGTTTAAAAAATTGTTAAGGAAATGAATCTGTATTTGAAAGGTATAAAGTTATGTAAAACACTAGTAAATGTAGCATTAAAAATAATTAAAATACACTTCATTTTTTAAGCAGGAAACTAAAGATCATCGCGATGATCAAAACAGTTTCTGAAATAAAACATTTTCATTTGGTATATAATCAACAGTACATAAAACCACTTGTAATAACATCTTAAACATTGTTTTACTTTCCAACTTCTTTTATACACCATTTTACATCCTCCCTATGCAAATTATTCTTATTTATTAAGGCAGATCCTGAAACTTCTACTTGGCAAAACATGTCCTAGTATTTGAGTTAATAAGACAACACTTAAATTATTTTAAAATTATATAATTCAAAAATTTTCACAATGTATTCAGCCTTTTCTTGTTTGAATAAATGCTTAATTCTGGAATGTTCTGGTTTTGGGTAGGAAAAAAAAATCAAAACTGAAGGTGCTATTCCAGGTAGGTGACTCTTGTCTTTAGTTTTGTTTTCTCTTAAAAAAAAAACAAAAAAAGAGAGAGAAAGAGTTATCGACTTACTTGGGGAACCATTTGGCATGTTCCTTCCAAGGATCATCCCCTTCTTCCCAATTTCCTAAACATCCACCACAGGCAAAACACTGCACAGTGTCCCGTTTGCCTACATATGAAGGAAAACATTTGATTGTCCAGGAATGGCACCAAGGAACAGTCCAGAAGATGTGTGTCTGGGAGCTGACTGCTCTGTGCATGAGTAAGATGTGCTGCAACATGTCTGCCACTCACACTCTCATCTGGCTGAATCCCCATACATAGCCCCACTGCCCTCCATGACCATTTTCTAAGCCTGGGATGCTACCCATCAGTTATGGCTATAGTTTACTTGTAGAACTCTAAGCTATTTAACTCAATATGCCTGTAAGGTGTTCCCAGAGCTGGTATTTTGTTCTTTGAGCTCTCAGAGTTGAAGTAGTGAGGAAGTAAAGATATCCCAGCATTCACGAAGTAAAGCACAGTTAGAAAACCTAAGCTGTAGCTTCGCCGTGAAATCTATACGGAAACTAAGACACGTCTTTTAAACTATTCGAGCCTCAATGAACTCAACTGTGAAATGGAGGGAAGAGCAAGTTTGTTGGATCAGAATTAGTGCTTAATCTGTGTCTAGCATCAAGTAAATATTTAGTAAATGATAGCTGTTATAGTTATTACAATTCTCATGCACCTCTGTCATAGCATTTATGGCATGGCTAGGACAATTCAAAGTTCAATTTTCTGAAATGCAGTTTGCTCTAACATTAGAGTTAGCCCTAAGATTAAAACCAACCAACCAACTAACAGACAAATCCCTTCAATATTGCAGCAATTAAAAGAATCAAAGAAAAATCAAGTAAGAGCAGCAAAAGAAAGGTAGGTGAGACTTGGAGTCATGCTGACCTCAATTTGTTTTCAGGACCTTAAGAATGCAGTCAGTATTGTCTATGGTCCGAATTTAAGGAAAAATAACTGCTTGTTTTACATATATTTGGCAAATTAACACACTGTATGAAACAAAATAAAGCTAAAGTAAAAATCCCGAAGTTGAATTTTCATAAAATATATTATTATACCTATTACTGAAGTTGAATTTTAATAAAATATATTATTATACCTGTTGCAACACATTTAACAAGTGAGGAAAGAGTCACAAAATACTGCAACTGAACTATGGAACCTAAACTTAAAACTCCAGAGAAACACTTCAGGAAATGATTTCGAATTACCTGTAAAGACAAAGCCAGCCGCTGAGAGCTCCCTTGGGGATACCCTGTGGACATAAAATGGCCAGTCCTCAAAGGATTCAAGTCTCGCCTTATCTTCTTGGTACCTTGCTTTGTCTCCTCTCAGCTTTTTCTCTGGATTCTTAACTCTTATATCGTACTTGGCAATGTTACCAACATCTTTGCCCAAAAGGAACTCACAATCTGGACGAAACCTTTTGTGGTCTCCTATGGGGAGTCTCCGGAGGCTGGAACCAAACAGTATTAAGCTACAGCAGAAGCACTGAATCCCAGATTGTACACCAGTGAAATAAAACCCAGCCGCTGCCATCTCCTGTGGTGTCCATGAGCTGTAGGACTTATAGGTCACAAAAGTCTTTAACCTTTTTGCTTCACTGCGCATTTCTGAATTAAAGCCTTTCTGCATTTTTTCTCGTTTCTCCTGTTCCTCTTCTTCCATTTGCTTTGCAAATTGAACTGCATCTAGGCCTAGATGATTAGACAGCTCCAGGAGTGTAGTGTAATCAAACTGGGAAATCTTCTCTTCAGTGGCCGTCTCCTGAGTGGCCATTTTCTGAAAAGGGAAGGAAGAGTAGGTTAATGAACTTCCTCTTGTTTTACTAGCCCTGAGATTTTTTTCAGCCCTTTTATTCTTACTGTTTCTTTTCTTCTGAATAATACTGATCTTTGTTCATCATTCAGCCCAATTGGGAGCAAATATGCTAGCAGGTCTGCGATAGCGTCTCTCACGCCATCCTGCCCTCCGACCAGTAAGGTCACATGGAGTCCAAGCAGTTGGAGGCCCTCTTATCACAGCATCGATCATCACTTAAATCAAAGATATAAAATAGGGAATACCTTAGTATCGTCACATAACAAGTCCAAAGATGCTTGCTTGCACCCTCAACATTCCAAGAACCTCAGAAATATTCCATTTAATACCCACAGGTGGAGTTGGATGGTTCCGCTGTACAAGGTGTGTTTTATGTGTCCCCGCCTTTATCCAGCTCAGCTCATCTGCAATTTGCCCATCTACCCACATTTCTGCAAAAGTTGTAAATAATACAAGATCTCGATTAAGACCAAGCATGTCCCTCATTTGCCAGTACCTATTGCAAGGAAAAGAACTCCTTTGTCAATAATGCATTAAGTCCATTTCAGCAGAGTTTCTTCAAGGAGCTCCTATATCAGTCCACAGAGTTACTTAGCTTTTTGACTGAGTAGCTTCTTTATTTCAGTTCTCTTGATGCCCTCTCCCTGTAGAGCCTCTTTAGTGGTTATTATTTATCAGATGAGTGTCTCATTCTGACCAAAAGAAGTATCTACCCACCTCTCATCTTTGGCCTCATTCCTTCCCTTTACAGAGGAAACCAGCCAAAGCTTGGTGGTCTTGGCAGCCTAGGGCTCCTTCTTACTTTCATTTTTGCCAAAGCAGCCAAAACCAGCCAAGGCACAGTATCCTTGGCTGACTTCCCCTCTATATGAATTTCTGTTTTAATCTACTTACCTATTTCCTTTGGCTCTGGACTGACCGCCTTCTAATTCCATTGCTGTACTTTTCCTCCCATCAGTTGCTATAGTACTCGAGTAAATTGAAACCAGGGATTCCTCAGCAGCCAGGCTGGTTCTATATCTTTCTTCCATTTTTCATCTTTCTTTCTCCCAAAGCCTTAGCCATCATTTAAATTATAAAGCCAAAAACTTTCAATTATCCCATTCACCGTGCTATCTTCAGCAATTACACATAATTGAAAAAGCTCACAGGACTCTCCATAGTATACTTACATAAGACTTTAATAAGGGTAAAGTATAAAAAACAAAAATAAAAATAAACAGGCAAACGTCAAAGAGGTCTCTGATCCCAGGCCCATTGCCTGGGGGCCTTTCTCAGTTGTATAGGCTGTGCTGCATTTTAGATAATTAACCACCTAGATAGGTGCAAGATACCTTAGTCTTGGGGAAACCACAATCTCTTCTGATTATACCCCTCTGGTCAATGTGGCCAAAACTAGGATGCATGACCAGTCTCTAAATCAGAAACAAGGTGGTACAGGCTGTCCCCTGGTCTGTCTCAGACCCTAGCACAGGAGTACATTAATCACCAGTTAGTGCATTCCATTCAGGTTTGGCTGAGAGAGCACCGTGGCTCCAGGCCTCCTTGGAGATAAATAAGCACAGGGTTGCAAAAAGCCAACTGGGATCAATTTCGATGGGTCAGTGGTCAGTTCTGCTAATTCCAAGGCTGTGTCTGGGGCGGAGAGATCTCCAAGGCCCTTTCCAGATTTTATGTCCTTTGACTACAAGTGCTCAGAGTGCCAATGAGGCAACAGTGTCTTGGAGCTAAGTCTGTGTGACTCCTGTGCTTGTCCTCTTGCTTCCAAAGAGAGAAACAAGAATAAAAGAAATACGAGGGTCAAAAGTTAGGTGTGGAAGAAAGCACCTTTGCCAGAAAAGGTAATTTGCTTACCTAGAGGTTGTCCAGAGTCCCAGTCACGTGGAAGGAAAATACCCCGTGGAAGAATATGTGGCTCGAGTACAAATGAGTTTGTCCTTTGATAGGAAGCAATGAGAAAATATTTGAGGAGCTGAAACTCAAAACAAGTTTCAGTTCTCTGAGAAATGACCAGTAAATGCTCTAGGGTATTGAGTCAAGAGAGCTTAGTCAGGACCCAAGAGGAACAGCGAAACCTACCAAGTCCCACAACGGGAAGTATTTTTTTCTAAACTGTTAAGATTGGTTAATGGTTATGGAGCTAGTATAAGTTTTATGTCTTTGATGGTGACAGTGTCTATCTTTCTGATTATCTTTTAGGATTTTCTCTTTTATCCTTGGGGTTATAAAATTTCAAAATGTGTCTAAGTGTGGGGTCTTTCTACATTCATTGTACTGTGCATTCAGTCTGAACACATGGCTATCCCATCAGCCCTGGGAAATTATCTTCTATAATTTCTTTGATAATTTCCTACTGTCTACTATTCTTATTTTACTTTTTTCTGGTATTCCCATTATTTAGATGGGGATTTAATTGATCACCTAAATTCTTATCCTTTATTTCCCCTCATATACTCCTTAGTGCTTTTGCTCTATTTTTGGAGAGATTTCCTCTCTTTATCTTCCAACTCTACAATAGTAACTCTTAATTTCAGCGAATATACTTTTAATTTCCCACAGCTCTTTCTTCTCTGATCCTTAATTTCATGACATCTAATTCTTTTAACCAATGCAATCTTTCTGAATATCTGCTATGACATTGTCAAATGACAAAATTAAATAATTTAATAATGGGTTTGATGTTCTTGACTCAAGGAAAAACAGTGCATGGGCCAGGAAAACACAGAGCCTCACAAGCACTGTCCTCCAGCGACTTGGGGCAAGAGCAAGTTATATAGAGAAGAGGCATCGTGTCAATGGCATGATTGGCTAAGAGGAGAGGATTTCCTTATAAGGCCACAGTCCTATTTTCTAGAGGAAAGTAAACCAGCTAAAGCTGAGCTGGAGAATTGTGATTGGGGTAGCATTTCCATGATAGGTGTGTTCGTTTTGTGACTTGGGCTGGGTCATTGTGGTGGCCTCCATTTTGTGGGTCCTGACAAATTAACTTAATCAATGCTAATGCTTGGTTCATCTGTCTCCTGAATCATCTGTTTCTTCAAAGGCTATTGTCATTTACTTCTTTTTTTCCCCACATGACCAGCTTTCCTCAAATGAATACTGATCCTTGGTTTTCGATTTATGTTTAAGAATTAGGCAATTTAAAAGCTGATTGGTCAAAATTATGGTTAAAAATCTAATTAAAAGCCACGTGAACTTAAACCATTTACTTTATGGAGACCAGACTGAGGAGCCAAGATTTACCCTGGAGAAGCCCTAAATGTCAGATGAACATCTCAGAAAATGATTTCAAGTTACCTGTAAAGACAGAGCTAGCAGCTGAAAGCTCACCTCAGATGTTCCGTGAGCATAAAATGACCCGTTCTTGAAAGATTCTGTTTTGGGATGCCAGTGCCCACACTGGCTCCTTCAAGTCAGCTAAAACAGTTTATTCAAATTTTTTTTAAAGAGAAGGATCATATAAGTTTTTGCCTCAGGATTAACACCTGTCTATCAAATAATCTGATTCTGGGGTAGAAGGAGCCAACTGTTCCACGCACAGATTTTAAATTAGTCTCACCCAGTTTTCAGCCCTTCCCATCATCCCTGCCCTCCTCCTCACCTGGTGTTCCAAGTCCCCAGCTGCTCCAGCGTTCTATGCAGGGTAAATAGCCTCCAACAGGTTATACCTGTGTTTATGCTGCGGTTTCTTTTGGCCTGCTTCATTGAGTACTACTATTCCATTTGTTTCTGTAAGTGCAGGCTGACTTAGGTTGATTTGTGACTTGGGCCGGGCCGCCGTGATGGCCTCCATTTTTGTGAGTCCTGATTAATTTTATCAATACTAATGTTTAGTTCATCTGTCTCCTGAATTATCTGTTTATTCAAAGGCTATTGTCATTTACTTTTTTATTTTCACATTATCAGCTTTCCTCAAATGAATACTGATCCCTGGTTTTCAATTTATGTTTAAGAATTAGGCAATTTAAAAGCTAATTGGTCAAAATTATGGTTAAAAATTTCAAAAGTTGGGGGAGTGGCTCCATAGTGTAGTGTTTAGCATGTCTGATTTACATGCAGAAGATCCTGGGTTCGCACCCCAGCTGGAGCCACAGACAAGACCCCTGTGTGCACAGCAACCTCATGGGCGGGGAGATGCCCTGTCGCCCCTCCTCCCCGCCTTCAGAGATCCAGCCCTTAAAAAAAAAAAGGGGGGGAGGGCAACATCCGTAGCTCAGGGGTGGAAGTGTGTGTAGGGGAGGCATTAAAGAGGGGAAAAATTCTTTTCAGAAATACTCTATGTGTTGATGGTCCCCTTTTGCTTTCTTATTTTTTCTGGGTTTATACTTTTAAAAATCATTTCAATAATATTGTGTAATTATTACCAATAAGAACTAAAACTTATTTAGATGACTAATTGCCAGGCACTTTAGATATGTCCATTTAATCCCTTTAACAGTCCATACGAAGGAGATATTATTATTTCCATTTCACTGATGTGGAAACTCATGCACATAGGGGTTCAGATTAACCAGAGTCTTGCTAGAGTCTGCACTTTTAACCACTGTTATGCTGCCATAAGGCTAGATTTTAAGGAAAGGCAAACCCAGGTATCCCAGAAAGCATAGTTGAACAAATTGCTGTTAGCAAGGCTTCTTTCCAGCTGTTACCAGGATTACTGGTATGTGAACTCCTCTGGCCAAGTCCAACAAGGCCATTTACCCAGCCAAGAAGCAATCATTGTTATATCGTTGACCAGCTATTCACCGGTTCCTCCTAAATTTTGTGTGAACATGTATAATGTTACAAAGACAGTGTTCTTTTGAAGCACTTTCCATCAATATTTAATGACAATCCAGCTGCTCCTAGATCCACAATCCTTTTTACAGCAAGCCCAGAGATCAAGGGAACCTCTCCACACTGCTGACCCTTCTATCTGCCAATAAACATTACTTTTTTTTTTTTACCAATAATGTGTG